TTATGCTTGTAAAGAGATGGGGACACGCAGTCTGCGAGAGCTGTCGGGGTGGGTGCAGCAGGGAGGAGGACGGGCGACGGACCCCGTGTGGCAGGGAAATGAAGGGGCTACAGCCCTCGCTCAAACCAAACCGCATCCTCTAAAAGGGACTTTCCAAGATAATTCCACGGTCAGACAGTCCGACGAGGCCAGGTGTTGGCAGAAAACCATTTTTAGAGGGACGCGTGTTTAAATGCCGCCGCTGAAGCTTTACCCGGCCATTAAACGTAACGTGTTACTCAGGGCTGAGCGAGGGAGTAGCTCAGCCCTAACGCTCCTTCCCAATTAGCCCGTGATGTCACGTTTTCCACTCTCTCCGTACCACTTTGTGGATTTCCTGAATATTAAGTGCCGCTAGGAGGGAGCGAGGGGGAGGTCGCTGGGACTGACTCCCCTTGCTCGGACACCCGTGGGAAGGGCAGGGGCTGAGGAGCGGGGGGATGTTCCCGCCTGGCATCAGGGTCCCCCGCACTGTCCTGCAGCGGGGACGGGCAGAGCCCCCTGCCCCGGGACCCCCAGCGGGCTCCGGGCACCGGTCCCCCTGCGCGGGGCTTGGCCGCGGCAGGAGGAGTGCGAGGAGTGTTGGGGGGGTGATGTGGAGAAAACAACGAATTGGTTGTGTTTAAAATGCATCGAGAGCTTTGATACGAAACCCTCCCGCCAGTTATTAGTTAATTGAAGCAGCGCTGCGGAGAGGACCCCCCTCGACAGATGGGGATGGGACCGAGCACTGCGGCCCCCTCTGCTCCGGGGAGAGCCGAGACTTCGATGACAGAGCCCTTATTAAACCGTACCTGGAGCTCGCAGGGAGCCCCCGGCGGTCCCGGACCCCTGGATGGGGTCTGCAGCTTGTTATTAAAAATATTTTTCCCCGGCTGGGATAATTCCCGAGGATCCAGGAGGCGAAGAGTTTGAATTTCGCTGTTTTCCGCGTTACGGTTGTTGGAGTCGGGAGAACTGCGAGAACTTAACGGAGGGGCCGGTGATGCGGGAAAAATCAGGAGAACTCTTCTTCCCGTCAAATCGGGAATTAATCAGCGGAGTAAAAGTATTCCCACCCCCGGGAAGAGTTTTAAATCAATGGACGAATTGTTTCTTTCTTCATTGCAAAATTTTCACTGGTGGAACTGTCACCCTTGTCTGAGTTGCCCAGCCAAAACAGAGACATCAAGATATCTGAAGCGTGAAAGTAAGAGAAAGGAGCCTTAAAAAATGCGTTCCACTTTTATACAAAACGACGATGACAACAGTCTCCTAACAGGAGTTGATTTCTGAAAGTAGTTACGTATCGATAGTTTCTGAAACTAGCTCTGAAACTAGTATCGATAGTTTCTGAAACTAGTTACGAACGTTTGTATAAAATTATTTTTTAAAAAACCGAACTCCTGAAATAGTCTGTCTTACAGTTATATAAAATCTGTCCCTGTTGCAAAAAACAAAACAAAACAAACAAACAAACAAACAAAACCACAAACAGCAAAACAACCCAACCCAAACCAAAAGAAACAACGAAACCCCAAACCAACAAAACAAAATAAAGACCAAAAAAACAACCAAACACACACACACACACACACACACACACACACACACAATCAACCCCCCCAAAAAACCCTCGGCAAATGAGGAACAGTTTTGCAGAGAAAGGTGATTCCATTGTAGTATCTGGGGAGGGGGGTAGAAAGTGCATAAAATTCGGGGCCTGCGTCTCGTTCATGCAGTTGCCCCCTAAAGCCCCACGGATTTTGCCGAAGTCCCACTCTGAAACGCTGCTGTTAATAAATGTGAATCTACCGCCCAGATCGATGTGAAATAAAAGTGCGGGTTTAGGTGCTCTGCAAGAGCACAGGGACTTGCACAATTTTCAGCCACCGTAATAATAATAATAATAATAATAATAATAATAATAATAATAATAATAATAATAAATCATCCTTTTCGCTACAGGATTTGTTTTGCAACGATTTTAAATTACTGACTGTGAGAGCGACCGGATGGTGAAGTTCATCTTTTCTTTCTTCAGCGCATCATCAAAATATTTCAATAGGAGCGTTCACAGAAATGTTAATTTTTATTTTAATTTTTTTTTTTTGTGAACTCGGGGGCTATAGGCCTGTTCCCGCGGTAGATGTGGGATCCTCCGACCGTCCGTCGGAGCATGAGCAGCCTCGGGGCGGATGGATCACAAGGAATATAAAAAATTAAATTACCAAAAATAATGCTGTATGATGGGAAATGATACCGTGTGTCCACCGCACTGATCCTAACCTGCTCCGACATGGGGACAAGAGTGTTAGTATTTACCATTATTCACGAGTTTTGATTTATTTTAATGAAACAAAAAACTCAGGGGGGTGTGGGTAATTTCTTTTTACGGACACTGTTTGTTTACGAGTGCGCTGGTCTCGGAGGTGAGGTAGTTTAAACAATCCGATGTGGATTTGTCTGCTCGCTTGAATGTGGCCAAAATTCTTCTCACTTTACTCATAATTGTTCTATCATAATAGCTCCAACGGCCTCTTTAGCCTCGGCCTTGAGAAATCAGCACCTTGGCGTGGAAACACCTTGTGATCTAAGCGGAGCAGATGGACAAAAGCTGGGCGGACGAAAAGCCACGTCAGGAAAAACGGGCAGGGTTTCAATTTGGGATTTTCTGATTATTTTCGGCGCCCCGCTGGTCTCGGTCGGGGCTCCCCGGAGCGCAGGTGCGCACAGGGACACCGCTGCCCGGAGATCCCCAGCAGGGATTGGGGGAAGTGGGGGAGGGATGGAGGGATGCAGGGATGGAGGCGCCCGGCCCCGGATCCGCGCAGTATCTGGGCGGGCTCGGCGCTGCCGGTCCCGCTGATGCCCCACCGGGAGGACACCGCTGGCTCCCGGTCACGGCCACCGCCTTGGCGTGTGCCACGAACTCGTTGGCGGCCCAAACACCGCGGCGATGTCCGAATAGATGACAACCCCCTAACAGGAGGGAGCAGCGGGGGCGCTAAGGGGGGGCTGAGCGAGGGGCATAATTTTAAACTGAAGAAACGTGGAGCAAACAGAAAAACCCTCGCGAAACTACTCCGTGCAAGTGGCAGTAACCATATGGAACAGGTTATGTGGGAAGGCAGTGGAAGCACAGAGTGTAAATTAACGCGTTGTTGTTGTCGCATGCGGGGGTAGTACAGTGGAACGGCGGCAGGACTCAAGTAGCGCTGACAGGAGCAGCAGAGCGGCCTCGTGTTCTCCATGGTTCCCTGAACTCCTCCACCCACCCCTTCCTCACCATTTAATCCAAATTACCGGCCCGGGGGTCCCCGCAGCCAAGCCCCGGCATCTGCCGCCGGGTGCGAAGCCACCCCGGGGCTGTTCCCTGGCTTTTCGGGGCGCTGGTTGCGGGTTCCCCCAAGCGTGTTGCCGGACGGGGACCTGAGAGGAGAGCTGGAGAGCGGAGGCACGGGGCAGCCCGGGGCCGGGGGAACTGGCCGGACACTCGGGCCTCGACCCCGCCGAGCGCTGGGACACGTCCCTTCGTGGGCTGCGCTCACCGAGGGAACCCGCGGGTGATTCCTGTGGCCCGTCATGCTCACGGATTACGGAGTGGAGCCGGGCAGAATCCCTGCGCATCCCCCGCACACCCCAAGGCAGCCTCAGCGGCCGAGAAAACGGGCTGAAAGTCCCTTTTTTGGTCAAAAATCCTGAAGAGGGAGGCTGAGTTTCCCTTTCCCCGGGGATGACCCCGGCTTCCGTCTCTCTGCGTGGGCCCGCGTGGCCGATCCCGTGGGATACCTCCCCTGAAAACCACCCACGCTCCGTCCCTCGTGGGCAGGGGCCGAGCCCAGCCACAACCCTTGCCAGGGCTTCGCCGAAACGATCCTCTTCTAACCCGTTAGTGCCGACATTTTCGTGGGGATTATGAGCGTTCGGGATCCTGCACGCGAACCTGGCTCGCAGCACGTCAGTGACGAGCAGAGCCGGCTCGTGGGTATCCGATAAAGGGAATTAAGCGAACCCCTTTGTACCGGGTAAAATGTTCGTGTAAATGCTCAGAAAGTCCAGAGAAAGGCTCCGCTTCGTGATGGGTTTTGTTCCCTGACCAGTTGCTTTTAGATGTTTACAGAGATTTGGCCGGGACTGGGAGGGATCCCGGGGCTGAAGGCGTCGGGCCTGGACCCCTCGACGGGCAGCCCCGACCGTCAGCGCGGTCCCTGCCTGACCTTGGGCTGCTTCGACTCCTCCAAGCCCCGGGACCCCCCGGTCAGGGGCCCGGGGGGACCCCGAGAGCTCTGAGCCGCAGACGGTTCAGCGGGACAGGGGTCCTACGGGGCAGGGAGCGTGAGGGTTCCCCGTGTCCCTGTGGCTCCGTGTCTCTCCCCATCTGTCGAGGCTCCATCAGGGAACGGGGAAGGGGATGCAGATGGGGACAGGAATAGGAAAGGGGATTGGAACTGAAGACTGGGGTGGGGATGGGGACGGGGATAGCGATGGGGACCAGGACGGTCATAAGGACTGGGCCGAGGCCGCACTTCGAAGGGGCCAGCGGTTGTTTGGGTGTTTGCTCTCCCGCAGCGAGCAGAACGGCTAATTTGCTTTATATGGCGGGGGATCAAATACTGGGCTGTAACCCCTCGCTTCAGGTACTCGCCCGCCCCGGCCCCTTCCTTCCTGCGCAGCCCCTCCCGCGCCCTCCCCCGCCGCGCTGACGGCCCCGCCGGGCCGGCGGTATAATAGGCCCCCGCCGCCGTCCCGGGGCGGAGAGACTCTGCCCGGTGCCGCGCCCCGTGTGCAGGCGGCGGGCACGGCTCCGGCCGCCGCGCTGCTCAGGGCGCTCCGGGGCCGGGGGGCCGCGCAGGGGGAGGGAGGGGAAGGGGGGCGGCGGGGCGATGGGCAGAGCCCCCGCTGCCCGGCTGCCGCCCGGGGGGCTGCGCTAGGGCGGCCCCGGCGGCCGGGGGTCCCCCCGCGCCCCGGGGGCGGCGAGGATGCAGCACCCGTTGGAGCTGGGGGCCGCTCGCTACTTCCCGGCCGAAGCCTTCCCCGACCACCGCTCCCACCGCTACCGCAGCTTTATGATCGAGGAGATCCTCACCGACCCCCCGGACGCCAAGGGGGCCGCGCCGGCCGGGGAGCTGCTCAAGTTCGGGGTGCAGGCGCTGCTGTCCGCCCGGCCCTACCACAACCACCTCGGTACGTCCCGGGGGTCCCCGCGGCTCGGGGGGATGGGGGGTGGGCTGGGGGCGGCAAGCGGGGAGGCATCGCTCGCTGACGATCTCCAGCGCCTTTCGGAGCCGGGCTCCGTGGAAGAAAAACTTGTGAATTCTGCCTGAAAAAAAAATCGCTGCCGGGCTCTGCCGGCTCGAGTGCATCCCGCCGGCTCCCGCTGTGCCGCGGCCGCTCCAGCCCGGAGCAGCTCAGTATTTTGGGCCTAAAAACGGAAGAAAGCGGCTCTACGGGTCCAGCGGCGCTTTCACAGATCGGCCTTTGAATTTCTGTCGTTGTTGATAGTTTTGGGTTTGGTTTTGTTTGTTTGTTTGTTTTGTTGTTTTTTGGGGGTTTTTTTCCCCTGTGTTTTTGGATGAGGTGGGAATTGCTGGAGCTGGAGTCGGTGTGTGTGTGGCTACAAGGGGCGGCACAGGGCCCTGTGGTCACAGATTTAACTGGAAACCCGACATATATATATGTGTTTGTATATATATATATATATATAAAATACATATTATACATAAAATAGAATATACAATATAAAAATATAGTATATAAAATATATTATATTTATGTAATAATATAAAGTATATAAGATATAACATTATAGTCTATATTAAAATACATATATACATATATATATATATATATTTAAAACGGGTGCCAGCGTGCTCTATCCAGTCGGATATAGTATTTAGGACAAATATAGTTTATTAATGACATGGCTGGAATTTTTTTAACGCCAGTATTTAATATCTTTTGAAGGCCAGTACTTAATATATTTTAAAGGCCAGTATTTAAATGTGTGATGGCGGAAACTTTCACTTCCAAAGCCATCTTCATCTGAGGAGCCATCACTCTTCATAGACGTTCTTTTCATAGAACTGAACGGAAAAGGAGGATCCCAATTTCTTTTTCTGCGTTTAAGAGAGCAAAGCGTCAAGACCCAGAGCAGGGGAGCAATATGAGTTAGAATATCTAGAAATCAGTAATATTTTCTAGATTAAATATTCAGAACTGTTTGGAATAGCGGATCAGATAAAAGGCCCTTTGCATCACTCACGGCTCGGTTTCGCAGCGATCAGCGGGAGCAGGATCGGGCCCTGCAGGGAGGGAGGCGATTTCAGCTCGGGCCGAGGAGAAAAGCCAGCCGAGACTCCCCTAAAGGTCCTTTCCCCGAGGCCGCCGAGGTCGCTCCCGTGTCGCTGGGAGGGGACGGGCCGAGCAGGACCGAGTCCCCGGCCTGCCCGGGTTTGCCGGGCCGGGACCAGCGCTGGCACTGCGGGCCCAGGCGGGGAGCGGAGCGGGGGCGCCGGGAAGGACCGAACAGGGCTGGACCGAGTCGGGGAAGGGAACCGAGCCGAGCAGGGCCCGGACAGACAGGGTAAAACTGAGCCGAGCCGGCCGAGCTGCGGCCCCAGCCCGCGGGGAGCAGCATCCTCGGGGATGGGCTCGCTGTTCTCTCCTCGGGAGCTCCCTCAGAGGAAACTCGCGGGCCTGAGGTTCAGGGAGAGGGATAGAAATTGTCACCACGTCGAAAATATCCTGAAAAGTTCCAGGAAGGGAATCCCGGGTCAGTTCCCGGCCCCCGCCGCCCGCCGGGCCCGGCTGCTGTTCGGTGACACCGAGCAGAACGCTTTTGGGTTGATTTTAATCATTTTTACTAGAACTACCCCACCCCCAAGTCATTCCGTAATTAACATCTAATGGCTGAAGGGTAAAACATGACCCGGTACCGCGGAGGAGGCGGAACCGGGGAGGACCCGGGACCCGACCGGCATCCCGGGGGTTCCGCACCCCTCCGGCCGCGGGAAGGTACCGAGGAAGGAGGAGAAGGGCCTGGGGTTCCTTGCAGGGTCTGGTCCCCGGCACACCGAGGCACCCTGCAGCCCCGGGGGTCCCCGAGCGCTGCCCGGCGCTGACGGCCCCTCTCTCCCGCAGCGGTGCTGAAGGCGGAGCCGGCCGCCGTGTTCAAGTTCCCGCTGGCTCCCCTGGGCTGCTCGGGGCTGGGCTCGGCGCTGCTGGCCGCCGGCTCGGGGCTGCAGGGCGGCTCCGCCTCGCCCCATCTCCCGCTGGAGCTGCACCTCCGTGGCAAGTTGGAGCCGGGCCCCCCCGAGCCGGGCAAGGCCAAGAAGGGGCGCCGAAGCCGCACCGTCTTCACCGAGCTGCAGCTCATGGGGCTGGAGAAGCGCTTCGAGAAGCAGAAATACCTCTCCACGCCCGACAGGTAGGCGGTGGCGACCCTCGGACCGCGGGACGGGGCTCGTTTTGCCTGAAAAAAAGTCGGGAAGCCTGCCATCCGAGAGGAAAGCTGCCGGGCTGACCGCCTCTCTCTCTCGCCCGCAGAATAGACCTGGCCGAATCGCTGGGGCTCAGCCAGCTCCAGGTGAAAACCTGGTACCAGAACAGGCGCATGAAATGGAAGAAAATAGTAAGTGTCCCTTGATCGTCCGCCCCTTCGGCGCGGTGTCCGCGTTCGACGGGGTACCGGGCGCTGCCCTGGGCTAATAATGATGATGATAATAGTAGTAGCAATAGTAGCAGTAATAATAATATTAATAATAATAATAATATGTCCCTGGTCTTTGAGTCCATCACCGCCTGGGCCCCGACCAGACCCCTGTCTGTCGCCCAGTCCTGTCCGAGCCCTCCCGCGGTACCGCTCGGCCCCCAGGGGCGGAGGGCGGTGTTTCGCTCCGGGGCATGGGGAGAGAGGGGTTCCTGCGCCCCAGGCTGAAGGCAGCATTGTTTTATCGGGGTATCTCCCTCCTCTGCCCCCTCCCCGCCTCGCAGGTGTTGCAGGGGGGCGGCCTGGAATCCCCCACCAAGCCGAAGGGCCGCCCCAAGAAGAACTCGATCCCCAGCAGCGAGCAGCTCTCGGAGCAGGAGCGAGCCAGGGACGCCGAGAAGCCGCCCGAGAGCCTGGGCTCGCCGGCCGAGGTCAGCCAGGAGGAGTGAGGGGCGAGCGCCCGCCCCGCCGCCCCCCGGGCGCTGCCCGCCGGGGCCCCGCACCTCTCCGGACCCGGGGGAAGGGGATGGAGGGCAGCTCGGACAGTGGCAGCGGCCGCCTTCGGACTCGGGAGATTTGGACGCTTTGACCGGCCTCATCCCCGCCCCTCTCCGCGCCCGCGGAGCGCTGCGCCACGGCCGCGGTGTTGTGCGACGGCCCGAGGGGCCAGGAGGACACTGGATCCCACCTTCCACATCTACTCGCTGTCTAAAACCCTGTGGTGCCCCTAGTTATTCGAAAACTGCATTTTATGATCAGTTTTATTAATGCGAAGATATTTACTTTATTTCAATAAAGTATTTTATGAACTGTTGCTCTGAGTAACGTAATGCTTTGGGTTTAATGTTTTTAAATTTGTTATTTTTTTTCTTCCCCGCGGAGGTAGGCTAGAGATTCAAACTCAAGTTCCAGGCAGATCTACACAGAGAGAGTGAAGAGCGGTGGTACCAGGAAGATTCTCCCATCGTTTTCCCCGACAGCTCGGCTGCCCGTGGCCGGGAGAGGCCAAACCCTCAGTCTTTCTTTGGTCAAATTCGGATGCTTTCGCATTTTAAAGATACGTTAATTGCTGACAAAGAGATTAATTATTTCCCACGCCGCGCATCCTAAATTGATACTTTTAAAAAACGGCCTTCGTGCGACGTAGCATGAAATCTTGGCACTTTGTTGTTCGGTTTTGGGGGTTTTTTTTGTGGTGGTTTCTGTTTTGGTTTTGTTGTTTGTTTGTTTTCCCCGAGTCCCCACTCCACGTTTTCTGTCGGGATGTCAACTTACAGAGCATCTACCGAGCAATGCGATTATACCACCGTGCTGCCGAAAACCAGCAGCACCTCAGGGAACGGCGAGAGCGGAGAGCGAGGGCAGGGGAAGCGGCGGGACAGCCCCGGGCTGAGCTCCTGCTGCGGGGGGCCTTCCAATTAACGGCGGTAATTAGCGCCCGCGGCTCGGGGCCCGTCGGTGCCTCCCTGCCCTCCCCCGGCTGGGCGGCCGTGCGGGACCACCCCGCACCGCAGCGGCTCCCGGGAGCGCTCCAGCCCGTGCTAAGGGCCCGGCGGGACAGGAGCACAGCGGACAACATCGGCTTTAACTCGGAACAGCCCCGAGCCGCCGCCGCTGGAGCGCTGAGCTCATGCCGGTCGCTCCCAGTTTTCCTCGTTTCGCCGCTGCAGCGGGTGCGTGGAGGGCCGGGGGTATCTCCCTCCTACCCTGCCCGGCTCGGGAGGTGCCCGGAGCCTCCTCCACGCCAGGTTAAATCAGCTCCCAGGATGAGCGATGGAGGATACGGGCAGTGCTTGGTAAACAGGAAACAACCTCGTATTCTTACACTGAAATGACTCATGTATTTAACCAAACAACGCCTTGGAAACGTTGTGTTTAACCTGGGGATAAGGGTGAACGCTGGGAAGCGGGAAGGCGGCGGCGGGGCTGACAGGGCTGGGAATGTGCAGGGTCCCGCGGCGCGGGCAGGGCACGGTGGGCGTGTGGCTTTGTCACTTCATTGTCACTTCTGGCTACTGTTTCTGTTGACTTCAGTGAACTTCAGAGAACAGCAGCAGGTTTTAATTAAAAGGGAGATTCACTGGCGCTTTAACCCAAATTAACAGGACGACGAGGTGTGTCCATACCAATGTCACACAGAGGGTTGGAATAGTCGGCCTTCAGTCGGTGCTATCGCGCTCGCGATAGAATGTTAATGTTTTCTTTTCACACTTGAGTAAGCGGCGGCGAAGTGATTATTTTTTCGCAGACCATAAAGTGATTAATTTTCCGCAGACCACGGAGGCATTAAATAAGGTAAATTATTGTAGTGTAATTTTTTTTTTTTTTCTCGTAGACAGCGAGAGAGAAGAGCAGGAGGGGTTTAGGATGCTCTGGTAAGGTGGTTTTCTGCAGAGCCGGTGCCGATCAGCGGGGCCGGTCCTGCCGGGGGTCCCCGGGGCTCGCCGAGTGGCCGCGGCCCCCGGGGCAGCGCAGGCTGGGTCCCCGCCCAGGGGCCTCTCTCCGCGGCCTCTGCACCGGCCACTTCCCCGCAGGATCCAGAAATAATTTTTTTCTTGTTGTTCCACGGCAGGAAAAGCTCCGAGTGCGCTCGGGGGAACCTTCTCTCGCCCACTGGCAGATGCCCGAGAGCCCCGAGCCGTGTGGGGCTGACTCCGTGCCCGGAGCCTCCCGGGCTCTCCAGCGCTGTTCTGCCATCTCCCACTCGGCGATTCCTTCCAGCAGGACAGACCGGGTGGGACAGCACCCAGCCGGCCTGGGGCTCCCGCTGCCCGTGTGCGGGTGTGTGAACACGCCGTGAATGAACACACCGTACCTCCAGCACCATTGACTGGCTCCCCGCTGGAGCCACTTGTCCAGGAGCGTCTTGGAAACGACTTCAGTGACCACCTTTCGCTTCGGAAGGAGCCTGCTGATGGTGTTACCATCACCGGAGCCAAAGGGAGCCGCGCCGAGGAGCCCTCCAACCCCCTCGCCGACGCTAATGGAACCCAGAGTCCTCTCGGGCACAGGAGAAGCCTGATAGACTTATCTGACAATTTACCCGACTAATGGGATTTTTTTAATTGGTTGGTTTGGTTTTGTTGTTGTTTGGATTTTTTTTTTCACTGCAAAAATTACATATTTAGATTATTCTATCTTTTGACGGTTTCGTTTATTGTTTTCTGTCGAAGTTTAACTTCCCATAGTTTCCCACAGCTTGTCCAGGTGCTGGGCTGGCTGGTGTGGCGTCACACCTCGGTGACAGCAGCTCGGAGCCGGGAGCAGGCGGGTCCCAGTGAGTTACACGCGAATGGATGGGTAGTCCCTGCCCACGGCCGGGGGGTGGAATGAAATTACCTTTAATGTCCCTTCCAGCCCAAATAATCCGGTGATTCTATGATTCTGTTTGAAAAGCCAAATCGAGTACCACCAGCCGTCAGTGACAGCCCTTCCAAAGGTGTTTGAAAATATCCCCCGGCATTTTAAAACAGGATTTTGTGGCTCTCCTCGACCAGCATCAATAAACTTTGTTGGCTGGTGAACGACCACAAGGAAATTACACCGGGCCTCACCTGCACACAGGTGGATAATTTAGGTTAGTGCAGCGTAATTGTTTCACATTCTAATTACCTTTTACAGCTGTAATGAACCCGTGTGGGTGCTGTCAGGCTGTGATTGGCGATACCCACGTCCACAACACTGCAGCAGCGGAGCTGTGTCAGCCCAGACACTCAGAGGGGTCCAAAGCAGCCTTGGGGAAGATCTGGGTGACTTTGCCCAGCGCTGTAATTTCCCCTCAGAGCCCTGTTCTGCCTGTGGGAATGATTTTGCTCTGCAGCAACCCAAAACTGCCAGACAAGATGCTCCCCCAACTGAGGGTCTTTTGCTAGTGCTGTATAATTCTGAGGCCAGCAAAGTATATTTGTAGCTAATACACCCGATGTTTATTCCCTTTTCTGTGTATAAATAAGCTGTATTGGCATAACACATTTATTCTGGCAGAAATGCATCCGTACAAGGGAGTTCCACCATTTGAATTACCAGTGTAGGTAAAACAGTGCATGTTTTCCCTGTGAATGAAGTAGAACAGCATAGACTGCAGGCTGGAAAAGTGGGCCCTTCCCATGTTTAAAGGCTAATCAGGTCACAAGTAATCAGCAAACGTTATGATGGTTTTCTTAACAAAACCCCCTTTAGGTGAGTTTCCAGTACAAACACCCTAAATTCCCTTTTTGCGAAGCATCTCAAAGAAACCCGAGAAAGGTTCCGCTTTTTCATCAATGTCAATTTAAATATAGCTCCATGGAGCCAGGGGATTTGAAGATTAATGACATGGGTGTTTATAGGAGGTGGTGCTCCATCAGGACCGGACACCGGGGTGGTGGTGTGAGGGGGTGTCCTGCTGCTGGGGGGCAGTGGCCTGGCCCTGATTCTCTGCTCCACACCTGCAAGGCAAGGGGGGATCTAATCTGCCTTTCTAGAAGAAAAAAACTGATCCTAGAGCAATGCTATGAGGGCAATTCCCACCAAAAAAAAACCCCCAATGCACAGTCTTGATGCTGCACTTTCCCCTCTGGAGGGTGGGAAACTGCAGAGGGCGGTGGAGGGGATGTGTAGTGGATGGAGGAGTATGGAGGGGTGTGGAGAGTTCTGATGGGGGCATGGAGAGGGATGTGGGGGGATTCAGGGGGCTATGTGTGGGGTGGGGAGGATGGAGGAGTGGGAATGCAGAGGGATGTGAGAGGGGGATGTAGGGTGCAGGGTTGTGTATGGGGGATTTGGGGCTGATGGGTGAGGAGGCTGGAGGGGGATGCAGGGAGGATGGAGGAGTGGGAGGTGAGGTATGGGGGTTTTGAGGGGATGGTGGAAATGGGGGAGGATGAAAAAAGGCTGTGTGAGAGGCTGTGGGGTGAATGGGGCAGGAATATCGAGGAATGTGTGGTTGTGAGGGAGGGGGTGCGGGAGTTTTGATGGGGCAGGTAAAGGAGGGAGGGGGACACTGCAGCAGCTGCAGCCTGCACCCCCCAGTACTGATATCACCCCACCTTGTGCCATGTGTGTGTGCTGAGCTGAAGCTGGGGTGGGTCAGGTCTTCTTGGGCTTGGGAAAAAACCATTAACCTCTACCTGGGACTTTTTCTCACCGTTTTGGTCCAAAATATAACAAAGGGATCGATATGACCTACTGACTTCAGTCAGATTCCTAAAATTCATTAACTAGCATGTGAAAGTCCTGTTACTAGACATTTGCCTTAACCCAAAACGTTGGATTGAGGTCATTACACAGACATTACATTTGGTTGTTTCAGCTGACTCGTATGGCAGATAAAATCTAAACGCTGAATGCCTTATTCCCTCAAATTTGGCCCAGTAATGTGTAAATTGAGTTCAGGGCAAGTTTGCATCACCACACCAGCACGGCTCTCCAGGCTGCTGTCTCGGCTTGGCTCAGCTTTGCCCTGAAATCT